CTCTCTCTCTCTCTCTCTCTCTCTCTCTCTGTCTCTCTCTCTCTCTCTCTGTCTCTCTCTCTCCCTCCCTCTCTCCCTCCCTCCCTCCCTCCCTCTCTCTCCCTCTCACTCACTCAACTACTAGGACAAACCAGCACACACAGAGTTAACAAAATCCAGGAACAAAAACAGGACCTTCAACGACAACGTGTCTCTGTTGCAGATGAGACTTGGCGGCTCAGTGAGACTAACCTGCAGAAATAAAGGTTGGATGAATGACTTCAAGGTCAGGGTGACCTTCTTCTTCCTTCTTCAGGGTCTCCACAGAGAACCAACTCACACGAAGACTTGGAGACAGTGTTAACGTCAGACGTCCTTCCTGATGCAACCACAGACACCGAGCTACCACGGCCTCTGTGTGGAGCAGAGAGCTGCTACAGGGCGCCTGGGGGAGCACATGGTGGGGGTCAAGGGCCTTGCTCAAGGGCCCAGAGATGAAGGTGGAGGCAGGTGTGGGTACTTCACCGACCCCACCCACATTTTGATGTTGTTGGTCCAGGGAGTTGAGTCAGCGACCTTCCGATCACAGACCTAGCTGCTCTAACCGCTGCACCACCAGCGGTGTAAATATAAAACTGCTAAATAAGAAGCAGCAGCAAAATGTTACAAAATATGGTTGTTGAAAACTAGTGTGGTGTTTTTAAATTTTAATGTTATAATTGATAAAGTGAATAAAACGGTTTGTGCAACAGAAACATGTTTGGTCCTCTTGTTGCAGAATATCCCCTCGTTTCAGTCTGGTCAACTATGAATCTCACTGACCGGAGCTCATATGTTGCTGAACAAGCTCCTTTGTCAAAGAAACAATTCTGTGGATTCTGTGGCAGGAAACGAGGTCAGACCCAGCCCAGCCAGCCGCTCGTCCATGGGGGCCACGCCGCCCACCCCGGGTCGTCAGAGGAATGTCTCGTTGCATCAGCCACTGTGAGCGAGCGTCATCCTGCTGAAGAGACGAGGGACCAGAAGAAAGGGATGAAGGGCCAAGATGTCCGCTGTAGAGCCCAATCAGCTTTGGTTCTGTCAAACCCAAACATCAGAGGGAGACCAGGGGTGTGGCAGAACCTCATGAACCAGAACAAGTGAGATGACCATAAAGATAACGTGCTCCATTATCTCCTGCTCATGAGCAGCAGAAGTTACGAACCAGAAGGACAAATCACCGTAGACATTTTTCATCTAGAGTTCATCTCAGGTTCCAGAAAGCCGCTCCAAGCAAAGCCACACGAGGACATGGAATCACCCCCATCGCAGCCAGGACATGAAGAGCACGCCGACTGTAGCCGTGCACTTTGGAGGCAAACACGCTCCTGGATCAGACGGAGCTGATATCAGCCCCCAGGAGACCGTGTGTGTAAAAACACAGCACACTTGTGGTGGTCCACAGCGTTTACTCTGGCCTCCTTGGTGAACATTGTTCGTGCAGCCAGAGACCAAGGCGAGCACAGGTCTCCATCTTTAACAGGGATTTAACAAGAAACAGTGAAGACACACGATGTCAGAGCGGTTCTTCACAGGCTGTGAGCTGCTGACTCAAACCCGAGAAAACATCTGGAGTGTCTGTGAGCACAAAGACGTTTGTCTCGTTACGAGCAGCAGCATGTGAAAGTCAAGGCCAGTTGTGTATGCACGGCTTCTTTTACATCCAACACGTTACTCTGTTGTCCCCCCCACCCCCACATCGCACCCGCCTTAGCCCATCCATCCATCCATTTTCTTCCGCTTATCCGGGGTCGGGTCATGGGGGTAGCAACCTAAGTAGGGAGGCCCAGACTTCCCTCTCCCCAGCCACTTGGTCCAGATCCTCCGGGGGAATCCCAAGGCGTTCCCAGGCCAGAGAAACATAGTCCCTCCAGCGTGTCCTGGGTCTTCCTCTGGGCCTCCTTCCGATGGGACGTGTCTAGAACACCTCACCAGGGAGGTGTCCAGAAGGCATCCTAACCAGATGCCCGAGCCACCTCAACTGGCTCCTCTCGACGTGGAGAAGCAGCGGCTCTACTCTGAGTCCCTCCCGGATGATCGAGCTTCTCACCCTGTCTCTAAGGGAGAGCCCAGACACCCTGTGGAGAAAACTCATTTCGGCCGCTTGTATCCGAGATCTCATTCTTTCAGTCACAACCCAAAGCACATGACCATAGATGAGGGTGGGAACGTAGATCGATCGGTAAATTGAGAGCTTCACCTTTTGACTCAGCTCTCTCTTCACCACGACAGACCGGTACAGCGCCCGCTTCACTGCAGACACTGCACCTATCCACCTATCGATCTCATGCTCCATTTTTCCCTCATTGTCATATGTCTATTTATGTTGCGTTTTCTGTGCTGAGGTCGTTTTTTGCTACCTTACACTGTCCTGTGTGTCAAAGACTTTTTTTACACCTCCTTTCTTTCCTAATGTTTTTCACTTATCTAATGAAAAGGTGGCGCTGCTCTCTGCGGCTGCAGCCTCAGACATCTGTCTCCCCATGTTTCTTGTTTTCTTTTCTTGACGAATGTACTGAAATGAAATTTCCCTTTGGGATCTATAAAGCATATTGATTGATTGATTGACTGAAAGAAAAAACAAGTTGATCAAACTTTCAGTCAAATTATCCGCTTTGAAGGAAAGTTCATTTTGAAGGAGAGAAACGCCCACTCAATCTAGGCGTCGGCGCGCTGAAATAAAAAGAAACAATCTCACCAGTTCTCCATGACCATAGGCTTTAGCGTGCCTCCACTGCAGTCCTGAATTAAAAAAATTATAATCCACCGCGATCCAAACTTGGGGGGGAGAATAATCCGCAGGTAATTCAAAGCAATGGCCTCATGCCAGATAATCCTCAGCAGGTGCACCCAAGAAGAACAAAAACTCCATCACTTCTAAAACGGTATCAAAAGTCCGACCCGACCATCACTTTGACACGACGAGCCGGGCTGGTTCGGGCTGGGGGCTCGGGAAAAAAAATTGCAGCTTAAGTCCAGGGTGTCCCCCCCCCCCCCACCACCACTCGTCTCTCCCACAGTGAAGGCTGGACATGGGCACCAGTGCCCTCCATGACATGAAAAGGAAGAAGTGGGTAAAGATGATGGATGGATGAACGGACAAAAAGGTAGGTGGATGGATGGTTGGATGATTGGTTGGATGGATGGATGGTTGGATGATTGGTTGGATGGATGGATGGTTGGTTGGATGGATGGATGGTATGGATGGTTGGTTGGATGGATGATTGGATGGTTGGTTGGTTGGATAGTTGGATGGATGATTGGATGGTTGGTTGGATAGTTGGATGG